AATCCACAGCGAGCACTGATACAAAACGACACTTTAGGATCAATTCTCAGTCCTAAAGTAATCCAATCTCAATCACAAGACAAGACTTCCTATTAGTGTGCCCTAATCCATTTTAATGTTTCACATTATCATTCCAAGGGTTTTCAATCTCAAGGATTAACGCTAATCCATCTATCTCAAGTCCCCAAATGAAGCTAATTTGGGTTCTCCCCGAAAACAGGGGTCAAAACAGCGATTTCAGGCCAAACAGGGTCAAACCCCGTGTCAACCGGTCGACCGGTGACAGAGCAGTGCAACACTACCGGTCGACCGGTAGTGTGCACACCGGTCGACCGGACGGGTCGACCGGTCAGCCTGCAATCCGGTCAACCGCATAGGTCGACCAGTTTCCATGTGATCCGGTCGACCGCACTGGTCGACCGGTGGAATCAGCTGCGCGAGAGAAGCTCACGAAAATCAATTCAAAACCTGCAAATCCAGTCCCAAATCGAGATTTTTCAAAGGGAAACCACTAGATCTGGGTTCTAGGTCCTAAAACAAGTCTAAAGAACCCAAGATCTCCAATTTCTACTATAGTTTTACTCAAAAACCATAAAAATCCGGTTTGAACCAAAAATGGGTTTTGAAATCCAAAAACGTAAGATTCAAGAAAGGTTCTTTTAGTAATCTTACCTCGAATCCTTCTCTTGACGTTGAAAACTTCTTTAAATCTTTGCTTGGTTCAAGATCCGTTTGATTTGGGACAAAAATGAGAGAGAGAGAGTGAGAGTGAGAGAGTACGGGAGGGTGAGAGAGAGAGTGTGGGAGAGAGACGCACGGGGAAGGAAGAGAAAAAGAAAAGAAAAGGAAAAGGAAAAAGAAAAGAAAAGGAAAAAGGAAAGGAAAAGGGCATGTGTATTATATTTTAAAAGAACAGTCCAGAAATGCGCTCATACACACTTCTAGGTTAAAATATATTACTGAGAATAATTTAAATACCTTGGAACTATTGATACTCACACGTGTCAGAAACATTTATTAATTAAACTCAACTAATAATCCAGATTAGGCACACTGATAATCTTAATTACCTTAATTAATCTCAATTAATTCTTCAGGGTGTTACACGCACATACTTATAATTAGTTTTATTTATGTTCTTATAGTCAATATTCGTAATATTTGTACACCAAAATACTAAAAAAATATAATTTTCATTTTAGTAATTAAAATACATCTAAAAAATAAATTCGTTTTATTCAAGGAAATAAATTATATATCTATAAAGAAATTAAGAATTGAAGGTAAATTAATTTTAAACTTGCAATATTATAATAAAAATATATTACTAAAATTTAGCATAAGATATTTATTAAAGATTTTTTATTGTCATATGAACATTTAAAATCAAATATATTCTTTAATTTGATTTGAAAGAAATAAAATGAGTTGATTGGGAACTAAATTTTATTATTAGGGTCATTTTAATAAATTTAGACAATGACAGCAGAAGTTGCTGTGGAAAAGCAACTCCTGACTTGTTTCTCAAATTATGTTGTGGGGTAACAATTTTTAGAAGCTGTTGGCAAACGCAGGTTTTGCCAAACATCTTGCTATAACTAAGGGTGACAATTCAGGTTGGTGGGTCATGTTCGTGTCGTGTTGACCTCCTCAGTTGACACGAATAGGTCTGACACGAACACGACCCGTTTATTAATCGTGTCGAAATATAAAACCCAAACACGACTTGTATATTGACGGGTTGACACGACACGACATGAATAACCCGTTTATTAAACAGGTCATAAACGTATCGTGTCAACCCGTTGATTACCTGTCAACTCGTTTATAAAATAGGTGATAAATGGGTTGTGTTAACCTATTTATACACCTATTTTTGAACCTATTTATAAAATAGGTGATAAATTGGTCGTGTTAACCTATTTTTTAACATGTTTATAAAATGGGTAATAAATGGGTTGTGTATTCGTGTTACCAAATATGACACATTTAATAAACGGGTTATGGCGGGTCAATTACGGGTTGGCGGGTCAACCTGAAAATGACACGTTATTTAATTGTGTTTCATGGGTTTGGCCTGATTTTGACTTGTACCTATTTATGATAAATGCAAACTCGCTAATTTCGTACAGGTTTCGAGTCGTGTCGATACCCGGATTGCCAGTCCTAGCTATAACTTCTTAAAAAAATTAAAAACATCCTCTAAAAACAATGCTAAACAGACCCTTAAAGTGTATGGGTTTCTCAATAAATTTAGACAATGGCAGTAGAAGTTGCTGTAGAAAAGCAATCCCTAACTTGTTTCTCAAAGTATACGGTGGGGTAAAAATTTTTAGAAGCTGTTGGCAAACGCAGGTTTTGCCAAACACCTTGCTGTAACTTCTTAAAAAAATTAAAAACAGTCTGTAAAAACAATGCTAAACAGTCCCTTAAAGTGCATGGGTTTTATTTTTTCCTCCTTATTCTTGATTAACCTTTTTTTATTATATTTGATTAGAAATGATATTAATTAAGAATATGAGGTAAAATTCCATACTCTTTTTTCCTTTCGGTTTTTGGGTGTTTGATTGCACTGGGCTGCGTAGCCCGTTTATCCAGGCCCATGAGACTGTTTGGGTCTTCTACAAAATAGGTCGAAACCGTGAGGGTAAAGGAAATCTTTGCATTTCACATTTCTTTATTCTCTCATTTTCATTCAACTCTCAGAGTTCTTCTTCAAATAATTTAGCATTTCTTCTCTTTTCTGTCTCAGAAAATATTTAGTTGGTTAATGAATTTAAAAAAATATACATGTGGAAGAATTGGGCAGAGAAACAGACTCTAAGTTTACTCTATACTTAAGTATGTTTTATTCTTAGTTATATTTACACTGCTAAAATTTATAAATGTCCCCATTCATCAATACTCCTTGAATAAAGATTTAAAAAAAATCTATATTTTTATTGCTAAAAAAAATCTCTTTCTATAAATATTATGTACATAATAGATCATTTAGAAATTCGAAATTAGAAATTAGAAATTCTTCAATGTCCCATTGTCTAAACTTAAAGGTATGCAATATTTTTTATTAATACCCTCTAATCAAAAACTATATTAGTCAAAAAGTTATTAATTAAGAGTCTTAAAACAATGTATTTAAAAAGCGAGTTTGACACGTTTGGTTTATGTATTCAGAATCATGATTCATAGTCATTCTCGTTTTACGTGTATTTTGTATGAGAAAAAACACCGTAGAGAACTATGAATCATGATTCAGAATCAGAGACGAATATAGAAAACAAACGTCCCGTAAATTTCTCTAAAAACGAGTGACCTGGACTTTTCAAGGGACGAACCTTATTCAAGTGCCGTCAAGAGTCTCAAGACCATGCCAAGCCCCACAGATATGGTTTTCTTTAGAGTGTTGTTAACATCAATGCCAAAAACGTTCAAACGTTAACTCACCAACTAAAACTTGCGTTTCGTTATGCAAATGGCCAAGTCAAACCGCATAGGATAATGTGGGTGGGGCTCGAGTTTGGGACGATCGCTGGTTTGATCCCAAGAAACAAAAAAATTACGTTTCATGTTTCATAATATATTAAGTTCTCGTTCATTTCACCGATTTGAGTTTATTACAGTAAAAAACTCTCAGAAACAATCACATCTAACTTTTTTGTTACAGTAAAAACCTCTCATATAAAATCACATCTCAACTCAAATTAAAAACTGACATCAGCAAACTAAACAGACCCTAAGAGAAAATTGCACTTAGTGTATAAATTAAGATTTTTACCCTCATTTTTTATTAACACCAATTTACTAAGATAGTTATTTGACTAAAAAGATTATTAATCTAAGGTAAAGAATAAAAATCCTAATTCATGCATTTTAAAGAGTATTTATTTCCTTTTCCCTAATATTAACAGCTAAAATATAAAAAAAACAAAAAAAAAAAACAAAAAAAAAAAACTAACATCATTGCTGTTTAATGTGTAAGCAACTGTAAACTTCTCAAACCCAACCATCATTCAAAACAAAAACTAGCAAACTGTAGTCTGAAATGTACTTGTGTAATTTAACTATCAAAGAAAAAAGGGAGTTAAAAAAACATCCCAGGATAGAGTAGTTGAAGATCCAGGAAAAAAGGAAAAAAAAAAAAAAAAAAAAAAAATCTTACAATCTTCCACCTGCGTATTATTCACCACAAAAAAAATGTGTCTTCCATCTCCCCAGACTCTCATCGAATTGATTTCAAACAACCTATTCACTCAGAACCGCAGGCGAAAATGGGGGGACAGAAGGTGCATGTAATAGATGTTCCCTTCAAAGATACTAATCGAGAGAAGGACATGCGCAAAGAGGAAAATAAATAGGAACAAAAAAGTCTTCACCCGGATTGATCCTCTGAAGCTTCTGAAGAAGGCGGTGTGTGCACCAAAGAACCAACATGTTTAGACGAATCTTCCGATAGCCTTGTTTCCGAGTTCCAACTTTTGTTTTTCAATGGTTTCTGCACCACATCAAAAGATTTTGCTGGTATGGAGTGAGAAGTCTCGATTGTTGGGACTGTTGCAAAGCTTCTTTGATGACTTAGAAAAGGTGAATCAAGCATGGCAGGAAGGCTCAGACCGTAGTTATAAGGATAGGACAAGGGTGGGTGATCGAATTTGCAAGTTGGACCATATTTGCAGATGCCATACATACTGTAATACGAACATACAGCTTGCCCCTGCATATATATAGACAAGAAGAAAGTTCACCCATTATAAAATTATCATAAATGCATGACAATTACTGAGTATACATCATAAAAGAAACTTACGGGCCGTGATGGAAGTCCAAGTGGATTGCTTGCGGATTGTGCATTCCTTTCTTTTGGGTGGTGATACTTGCAATCTGTACCATATTTGCAATTCCCAGTGCTCATAAAGTACCGGCATTCTGGTTGATCGGGCCTCTCAGGGAGACTAAGACCTGAATTTGATAACAAGTGCATTTGTCCAGCGGAACCCGACTCCACGGGATTCCTAGGGTTGTAAACAAGATTGGATCCAACAATACCGGTGGAAGGCACAGGGCTCACGTTCCCCTAATTAAAAATATAAGCATCGTCACAAAACAAGAAAAGCTGACACTCCAGTCTACCTTCCAACCGAGACACTAGAAACAATGACGAAAAGGGAAAGCAAAGGAAGGAGTAGCCATGTTGGAAAGCAGAACAAGAAAGGGTTATAGCCTAAAATACCCAAATGACATCATAGATGTGATATCAAAAGCAATGGATGGGAATAACGATATGACAGATTCATTTCAGATGCTAAGTATCAAAATGTGCTACATAGAAGAAAAACAACCCTAACAGCCTCAGGACATTAGTGACAGATTCTTCAAATTTTGTTTGATTTAAAAAGTTGATACACTGACCACGTAGGTGTTCCAGCCTCCTGCGGATATAATGCCTTGAGAAGGAGAAATAACAACAGGCACATAAGGTTGTTGTTGTGGTTGTGGACCAGGTACATAGGGCACTCTTGGGAAAGACCATGCCGGAAGCCCACCTGCATAAGGTAGATTTGAAGAAGGCAGCACTGCGGATCCCGCTGATCCAAAAGCAGGAGGGGGAGCAGGAAACACGGTTCCAAGAGAAGCAGGCTGGGGATGATGAAACTTGCATGCAGCTCCGAACTTGCATGATCCAGTTCTCATGTAATAAGGACATGACTTTTCTTCCTGGGAAGAATTGATTTCAATTTGTCAGAAAGGAATGAAAAAAGGTTGATACAATTATCAATTCACCTATAATTGGCATTGAATAATGATAAAAGGGGGCGTAAATGACCTGGCGCATGGGGAAACCTAAGATGTTGAATGAAACTGGTCCAGCACCGCGCCTGTCTCTTGGGTGATGAAATTTACAAGTTGACCCATATTTGCAAGTCCCTGTCTTCAGAAAATACTGCAGGAAATTTTTTGAAAGTGAACAATAACAATGTACAAAAATTTCCATCGAGCAAAAATCGAGCAGGAAAAATAAAGTTACCACCAATGGATTGAGAATCCTAAAACAGAAGAACTTGCACCGACACAGATCAGGATAACCTTTATGTCCAGAACTACGAAACTACAAATATTTTAAATGACATAACGGAGTATCTACATACTTGGGGTAAAGCACCATAAGCTTATCACTAGACAAACAGAGGATATAAAATAGATGTACATGCTAATAGAAAGGAACAACCCTGGAAGATTTACGGCTTGACCTTGCTAAATAAATGAAAATAAATTAATAAACTTTGTAATAGGAAATGAAGCGTGTAATGCATCCTTCAGCAGAGAGAGAGGAAGAGAGCAAAATAATGAACTCAAGCGCATATTGACAAGCATTATTCTGATAAATCAAAATACGGCAAAATAATGTCAAAAGAAAAAATCAGTGCTTTCTGTTTAAAAAAATATAGCCATGATGGAATATCCACGGAAAAATAGGGGAAAACCAGAGTAGCTGACAGAACCTTATGTTTCCATCACAACAAAAGACAATAAAGGAACTATGCCAATACCTGGTAATGAAAAGTGCACAAGGAATAAGAAATTATACCATATAGCATACAACGTTTGTGAACAACTGATGTTAGAGAGGTTAAGTTTCAAATTCGTATTTCTTGGGGACTCTCATGACAACATTCGGCTGATTCTGTATTTCAGATTAGTTATATAATGTTTCTCTATATTTGATTATTCCGTCTACAATCTCTATGCCTATAATAAACTTCTACTGTAAGAAGCAAACAACTTCATCCCACCAACGAAGAGCCTCTTGAAGGTCGGGCTATTCAGTCTCATGATACTCAAGGAGCAAGGTAACGTTCCCTAAGGTTCGACTAATACATCATCCCCTCCCACCACCACTTTGCTGCTAGAAACAGACTCTGGAAGCGGCTTTTGCTAGGATGAAGGCAACTTATATGTCTTTCACATTGTATTTTCATAAGAAATGTATTGCCAATTCTGATCCCTTATTAATTGTCTTTGTTTACTTATCTTCACAGGTTGTAGGTAATTAATTAATTATACTAGCAAACCACTTTGTAAGAAGAATTTGCTTAAAAGAAAAGGAAGAGTGATAGCTCCTTAGTAGAAACCTGAAAAAATTAAAAGTCTTACCCCGCAGTCAGGTTGTCCAACTCTTTCAGGAAGATCTCCATTGAACTGAGCACCCTACATTAGTATTGACGCAACAAAACATTTTTATCCTTTTGACTTCCTTAAAGCACAAGGGACATTTAAGAACAAGTGAAATAATGCATGGACCATAATCAACAAACAGAATATTTTATGCAAGGTCTAAATATTTTGACAACATATATTTTAGTTACCTGTGAAGCATAAGCAGGGTGATTAAAACGACAATTATTTCCATATCCACACGAACCAGTCCTCAAATAAAATATGCAATCGGGTTCGCCGGGTCGATCCGGGAGCACGTTTGATTGAGCCACACCACCCCCTTCCTGATTATCATTGATTTTCAACCGCCAAATTGCATCTACAATGCATAAAGAAAACAAATTGCAAACATTTCGATCACTGTTTTCAAAACCTCAGTCCAAATAATATGGCTCGCAAAAAACTTTCAACGAAGGAAATCAGATTAAACACTATCAACCATCTTCAAGAACTACGTTACCAACAACAACTAAAGCTGAGATCTTTCTCCAATCTCCAAAATAAAAATTTACAAAAGGCCTAGAAACAAAACAACAGCCTTCACAAACCTCAAATACGCATTAGATCAACTGTAAAAGTTGTTCAAAACCGGAAACCAACATGTCACCAAGAATCGAAACGAACCCACTTTCAAACCAATTCCACAAAGATCAATAAAAAAACCATATATATTATAGAATAAAAAAGAAATATGAACACAAAAAGAAGCAAAAAATCACAAATTTCAGATAATTCAATGATTCCCAACTCAGAACACATACACACATTGCAATTTTGGCAAAAGTTACAGAATAAAATACCATGATCACCACATTCTAGAGCCACAATATCAAAAAATATTCCATAAAAAACCATAATCAGATCTCTATAATTCCCAAAAGGGTATGTAAAATTAGATGTCACCTTCAATGTTACCATCGGATTGATTTGGAACAGCATTTTTCTGAGTCTGCCGAGTATCTGGCATCGGTAGCACAAAGAAGAGAGTTTTTTTTTTTTTTTTTTTCTCTTTTGGTTTTTCAGTCTCAGCAATCAAACCCAGCAAAGTTTTCGAATCTTTCAGGCAAATCAGAGCAAAGCACCCTCAATCTCTCTCAAAAAAGAAAATTCCCCAATAAAGGGTATGATCCGAGACAATGAAACTGGAGGAGAAAATGAAAAAGTAAATGAAAAATAATATAAGAGGAAAAATTAAATAAAAATAAAAATAAAAGAAGAGTAATTAACCAGAGCGAAATAATTCTGCAGGAACAATGTGAAATCACAAACAAAAATAAAAATCACAAATAGGTATTTCTAATTCGATTTTTTTTTTTTAAAAAGAAAAATTCTTTTGATATTTCCCATTTAGAAGTTTTTTTGGGAGTAGCTTTTGAATGTGAACCCGAGAATATGTTAAAGTTTTCTTGCGCTCGTGTACGAACAATAAATTAATTGACAATATGAAATTACTATATTACCCGCCACGTGGCGCGTTTCTAAGCTTGGTTTTGTCGGGTCGTGAATTGATGAGATTTAGCTAAAGAGAGCATATTATATTTAGTTCGCCCAACAAAAGGCACGTCAAGATATTTTTCAGTGTTAATTTACTATTCTTTGCTTACATTAATTCTTTCTTTTAGTACAATTTCCTCACCAAAAAAAAAAAAAAAAGTGTTATATACAATTTCTGTTCGTTTTTGGATTTTTATCCAAAGGTACAAAACCAACATTAAAAAAAAAAAAAAAAGTGGTGTTGTTATGGTAATTGTGTAGAAAATTCTCCCCAAAAAAAAAAAAAAATTTTGCCATTACAATTTTTTTTTTTTTTTGAGGTTCATGAAATAAATAACACATCCTCACCCTTGAATTGGGATGGCGGTGGCGAACTATTCACCACTCAGATTTGCGGTTCTGATGTGGACCCAAATGAAGTTTCTTCCTGGCCCCACACGTGAAATTTACCAAATGACGAAACGGTCCCTCCAGAAGAAGAAGGTGAAGTGCCTTTTTCATGTTTGTCTTGGAGATCAATGTATAAAGTATATAATATTGTTTATACACCTTAAAGGCGTGTAATGTGTATTTTACAAATGTATCTTACAATCTTGTAAATGTTTACCTTTTTTTTTCTCTCTCTTGTTTTAAATTTTCTGCTTTAGGATATTTGGTTTGGAACTTTGGGTTATTAAAAATTTGGAGAGAGAAACGTGAAAAATCGTCGCCGTCAAAGGGGCGTGAAAGAGATTTTGGGCAAAGCCCAAGGTGGGGGTTGGTGGGCCCCTAGGGGGTGTGATGAGATTTGGACCCTTAGATTGTGATATTCCAAGGAGCTGTGTGGGTCCTACTGAACACTGGAAAACAAAAGAAAACGAGCTCTGTCTTGGATTCGCAAACGTCAAAGGGGAGAAGCAGTGGGGCCCACCTCGAGAGAGAGAGAGTGGGTTTTACTTGCCGATGTTAAGCAGATGAAATTTATTGTGCGTTTAGAACTAATTGTAAAATAATTTTATTTTTTTATATAAAAATAAAAATAAAAACGTTTTTAATTTTAAACCGAAATTATTTTTAAATATATATTTAGTAATTTTATTAAGAGTTTATTTTCAATATAAAACATTCATTAATATTTTTCTCTGTACTCGAGATAAGAGAAAATAAAAATAAAAAATAACTAAAAATTATTTTTTATTTCTCTCTCAATTTATATTAAATTAAAAAATTATTTTTATTTTTATTTTTATTGTGTCAAACGTCATTTTAAAAATATTTTTATTTTTTTCTCAACAAATGTAAAAAATAAAAAACATGATTAATTCTAAACACAACATATGTTCTTCTTCTTCACACTTAGAGCGCAAAAATGGCACTAGGCGTACTAAACGACACGTCGTTTTAGGAATTCCGTGAACTTCACACTTGTGGATATGGCATCTGAAATTTCTTTTCGAGACCAATATAATCAAATTTATGCTATAGGTAATAAGAAAAAAAAAGAAATAACAATTACATTTATTTAAAAATATAACTTGACACTACCAACATTTGATATCCATCATCAATATTTTTAGGACCCTGTAGCCTTGCCCTTTCTATAATCACTTCTAGTTTTTTTTCTCCCTTTCTAAGAAACTAGTTTTTGTAACGTATTTCACACGTATTGTCGTGTTAAAGACAGTTGAAAAGTTTATTTACTAAATAATGAAAAATTAATTTATACAATTATTTAAGAATTTTTGAATTTATTTTAAAAAGAAATTTGTGAAGATAACAATTGACAAAAAAAAAAAATTAAGTAAGAATACATTTAAAGAAAATTATTTTAACTAATCAAAAATAAAATAGGATCACATGCAAAAAAATTACTCTCATAAATATAAAGTGAGAAATAATATATTTTTAAAAAGCACACGAAAATATTAAAATGTAAAAAATAATTCAAAAAAAAGATAAAAAAGAAAAAAAAAGGAAAAAAAAGAGAGAAAAGTACAGGCGCTACCAAAAAAGAGCTTTATATTGTTAGATTATTAGTGGAGAAGAAATAATTAGCAAATTATACTTGCATAAATTATTTTTCCAAATTTTTTATCTGAAATAAAGTTTAGCATTAAAAATTGACAAGTTAGTTTTTGTATTAAACTTTTGGAATAATTTTTATAGTAATTGATATCGATAAATGAGTTGTAACGGTTTTTTTTTTTTTTTAAGAATAATATTACTGATAATCTTTAACATACATAAAAGAATTGAAAAGGCTTTTTTTTTTATGTGGCATCATAAGGGGCTTCTCCCTTTTTTTTTAACACATGACATCACATTTTTATTTTCTTTGCTTTTTTTAACATTTTGTCCATACTCAATTTTTTTTTTTTCTAAATATGACCCTTATAAATATTTTGTTCTAATTACTTTATTAAAATTAAATCTTCTCAAATGTGTCCATACCTAAACACTTTTTCTTTATAACTCTCTCAAATACTATTTTTCATATATAGCCCCATAAACAATTATTCTCTGTTATACTCCACTAAAAACATTGTTTTCATATTCAACTTAAAATTTTCATTTTTCATTTACTAAACTAAACTCGTACATGAACAATAAGTCAATAAAAAAATTTAAGAAATTTTAAATCTTTTTATTCAGAAAAATTATAACACGTCGAATATATGTGCGTAACGCGTGCTTTCACTTGATTAATCAATGCTTTCACTTGATTAGTCAACGTATGATTTGTCCACGTAGAGCGCGGATTCACTTGCCTTGAAGAATGTTCTTATTATAGTTTTCTACAAAGGTGGTGGACATATGCCTAAACATATGAATTGTTTTGCTGAAACTTAGATGATGTTTAGTACGAGAATTTGAATTATAGTTCATGGTTTATTATAGTATTTTCTCTTATAAAAAAAATATACATAAATTAAGAATAATTCTTAATTATGATTCTGAATCCGTGAACCTCGTTCACTTCGCGGATTCGAGTTTTCAATTCGAGCTGAGACTGAGAGCTTTTCATTGTAGCAGAAAAAATTAGATGTAACATTTTTTGAGAGTTTTTTATTGTAAAAATTTAAAATTAAAAACTCGAATCAGTGAAATGAACGAGAATATCCACTTATTTTTTAAAAAAAAAAAAAAAAAAAAGGTGGAGCTGAAGGTCCCGGCTCAGAGACTCGGGCATTTTGTTGATTCTTGAGCAGGTAAAAAAATTACCATTTATTGAAGTCAGTAAAATTTCAGGAAATGGAAATGAAAGGGACAACTAATTTTTAATCTAAAGGGTATAGTTGTCCAATAAGGTTAATTTTGGCCCAAGAAATTTCTTTGTACGTTTCATTGAGTGGGTCCCAGAAGAAAAGTGATAATTGGAAGTGTGAGCCAATGGCCAGACTTTCACTTTCATATTAATATCTTGGAATTTCAAAAACGTTTTTCTTTTCTTATTTTAATATTATTGGGTGGGTAAAATGAAAAAAATTTGGAGCACCTCAGACAACCGAAAGCATGCGGTTTGGCCGATTACTACAGCCCACGTGTCACGAAAGACAAGTTTTGAAGTTATTTCTCGCAATGTAATCACAACATGTCAACAGCAAATGAATTTTACAGCTTTTTTTTTTATTTAAAAAAAGCAATATATTATGCTAATAATCCGTGAATTGAAAAATTTTACCATTAAAAAGTTGATTACTTCTTGTTTATACCATAAAAATGGTATTATTTTTCTTTAAAATAGAAAAAAAGAATAATTTTGAACAGTTGATTGTTTAATTATCCTAATGCGTCTTCTGCCCTGCACTAAATTCACGTTTCTAACATAAGATGAAGGACAACAACCGTTTTTTGTTTACTAACCTAGCTAGCTAGCAAAGAAAATAGCTAAAAATAATAATAATAATAATAAATAATAATAAAAAAACTATTTTGCATGGTTCAGGTAGACAAAATTTCATCTTATTTCTTACAAGGCTGTGTATCTCAAAAAAAAAAAAAAAAAAAAAAAGTTCGCATAAAAAAAAGGTAACAATACAAGGACAGAGCTATGATTTTATTTCAGTGGGGCACTCACAAGAAATTTTTTTTTTATTTCTCACCATTTTTATTTTTTTTCGTTATATTACTAACAATTTTCTTTATGACAAATTATAAATATACAAATCAAAACTAATCCCCAAGATTGTATAAATTCAAAATTAAACAAAGCTTTTTATAAAAGCGTGGAAGGAAAAAGTGGATAATAAAAAGGAGACGTGGTCCCGTTCATTTCGCCGATTCGAGTTTAGAATTCGAGTTTTGCTACAGTAAAAAGCTCTCACACAAAATTACATCTCAACTTGAATTACAAACTCGAATCAGCGAAGTAAACGGGCCTAAAAGATTATTCAACTGAAAGAATAGTGGATATCTAGGGGATTGAGTAAGAAAACAAATTAAATAACTTAAAATAGTGGGATAAGTTCAAAAAAATAAACAGGTTCACTTTTTATAAAGAAATATATTTTAATGGAGGTACATTTGTAAAATTATATAAAATCATAGATACAAATTATATAAATAAAAAAGTGAGTGAGGGCACATACTCGACGTTTTCTCCGTTGGTAATTTTTATAGTAAATAAGCTATAAAATAAACAGGGTCACTTTTTATAAAAAAATTATATAAAATTATATCTAAGATAATAATTATAAAATCATATAAAATCATAGATTTTACATAAAAAGTTCAAATTATATAAAATCATATATACTTACCTTCTTTTGTCCTTTCATTTAATTCCCAACGTTTTCTCCGTTGGAACTTTGTAAAGTCTTCAGA